ATGGCTGCAGAATTCTGCAGCGTTGCTCCACACAGGAGCAGAACAGGCTGCCAGTGCTACAAACAGGGCTAGGAAACTCCTCAGCTCTCCTCTTCTCAAAGGTCTTTCCTGATCAAACACTAGGGCTCAGAGGTCTCTTACTCCAGGTCATGGTGAAGCCGGTCTGTTTTTTGAGAGATTTTGCTATAGGGTGTGTGTGCTCACTGGAGAGACAGGGTAAGAAATCCGAGCATGGCCATGCCGCAATCCTCTTTTTTTCTTTTCTCGTCTCAGGATTTCAGTCAAGCACACACATGCCCAGCATAAGTTTCAAGCCTCGGGATCTGAGACTCAAACCACAGTTGGTCATGTGGGAGTCGAGCATCTTAACCACTATGCCACCTGCCGGCCTCTGAAGCCAGTCTCTTAAAACTTGGTCCAGGGGTCGGCAGGTGGCATGAAGTCCTGGTCCTGGCGTGGCGGCTTGCTTTCTCACTTTCTCTCTCACTCTGTCCCTCTCTGGTCAAATTAAAAAAATAAGTAAATAGGGACCAGCAGTTGGCATAATGGCTATGTCGCTAGACTCCCATGTATTTGACCGCAGTTCGAGGACCCAGTGGCTTAAACTCACCCTAGGCACATATGCATGCGTGCCCAAGATTCAAAGAGGAGAATGGAGAAGGGATTGCAGCATGGCCATCCCCCCTGGGGGTAATTTCTCACTTTCTGTCTCTTTCTGGCAACCGTACGCGCCCTATAGCAAAAACCTCTCCAAAAAAAAGTAAATAAAGTTCAACAAAGTAATTCTTAAAAACAAACTTGGTCCAGAAGGTCCTCTGGTTGCATCTCAGGAGGCAAATGGCATGGCACTCCCTGGCCACCGTACCCCACCCGCCCATTGGGGAAAGCTGTTGGGTGGAGGGTGCAGGGGACAAAGTGGGTTGGAGGCAGTCGTATCACACATCTAGGTCTCTTCCTCAGAGCTGGCAGATGACATCTGCTGCCTCCTCAAGGAGCCCTGTGTCCCACAGCGGGCTATTCTGCTCCCTGGCAAAGACACACCCCTACCAGTGACGGTGCAGAGGACACCACTCAAGTGGGAAGAGCTAGACAGGTGAGGGGACCCCTGGGTACACAAAGGCAGAACAAGAAAGTTACAAGTACCCAACCTTGGGAACCCAAAGCGGACTCAAGGACACCTGGGAGCCAGAGAGCAGTGGCTACTCCTAGAGCTCAGGCCGGGTTCGGGGGTAGGGGAGGGCCAGGAGGAGAGCAGGCTCAGACACCAGGCTTGGGAACGGGAACGGGGCAGGGCTGAGTTATGAGTACAGAAGTTGAGTGGGGGTCTGACGTGATAGGGGGCAGGGAAGCCCCCCATTTCCTAGCAGAGGTGACCTGCTGGAGACAGGTAGAAGTGTGAGGAGGCAACTCCTTAACCCAGCCTTTTCCCCCTGTCCACAGCTCCCTTCTGTTTTCTGAAGCATCGGCCACAGGGGAGGCATCTCCCCTCAGTGAGGGACTCCGGGAGTCCCTCAGCTCCTACATCAGCCTAACCGAGGACACCTCCTTGGATGATATCAAGGCCCAAAGCAGGGGTCAAAAAGGGAACCAAGGCTGCAGAACCTAGAACCTCAACTCAGCTGCACTGGGCATCCCCCAGGCTAGGCTGTGCCCTAAGTGAGGGATGGGCTGAGACAGAAGAGTACCCTCTGCTCCATCTCTCTTGGCCCCAGAAAGTCACGTTACCTCCTCCCAGTGTCACAACCCTGCCTGCAACATGCAGTCATGGTCAAAGCAGCTGAGAGCAAGACCAAGGCTGTAAAAAAGCAAGCCTCCTCGGGAGCCTGACCGGGTCAGTTTCTGAGTGGGTTTCCCAACCATTTCAACCCCTATCTGTTGAGTCCCGTTCCACAGCCCCACTGCTAACCTGCCCCACCTGCAAGGCAGAAACTCCCTCACATCAAGGAGAAAAGAATCATTTTGAGAAAACGTACAAGCCTCCCTCAGTACGCACACCTCCAACGGCAGGATCGTGGCCTACAAGCAAAAGGCAAGCAGAGGGCCTGGATGGTTTCCACAGAGCAGATCTCAGGTTGCCTAGCCTCCACCTGGTCCTCAAAGCAAAAGGCCCCTGAAAACCCAGGTCCTCAGAAGCCCACCATCAAGCCTTCTCTGACAGCCACTGCTCTCAGATTTCACCTCATTGTGTGGCTAGTATTCAAAGCTGGTCAAGCTTCCCCAGCCATACTGACCATCTATCTGCCCTCTTGTGGCCAAATACAAAATGACACTTTAGTTCTAAGCCATGCAGGAGGCAGTGAGGCCAGGGCTGAACAGGGCCATGAGAAAGCAGTAAGCCCTTTCTCCACACCTAAATCAAGGCCAGCTTTGAAGTTCCTGCTGCCTGTAATAAGAGGCCTGGCTAGAGCTGCTGAGAGTAGGGAGGGAAAAAAGGGATGAGGATGGAAGACACCACCTCTGGTGCTCCTCCTGGGTTTTGAGGCTGCAGATGGGGCTAAAAAGGCTTTACCAGATTATCTTCAACAGGTTCTCAATTAAAGATTTGATTTATTCAAGCATCTGAAAACATTCTACAGTGGAAACTGTTATGCTGCCTGGACTGTGCTATGGACATGCACATACTGTCACACTGTTTTCAGAAGACTTGAGATGCCACTGATAGTTTAAAAACCGAACACCTGATGGAGAACCGAGGAAGACATTTTAATGTTTCATCCGGATCCAGAGGTGCATCAAATTAAACGACAGCTCCACTTGGCAGACAGCTGTTACGTGATGGTGTCCGAGAAGAAATGGTGACAGACTCAGAAATGCTTCCCCCAAAGGTGGCTGGTTCTTTAAAAAGTTTCAGGTCACAACCCTTGCAGAAAACACAGACGCCCAACACACTGATTCTCAGTCCAGGAAACACGGGTCTTCCAGGCTCCATGTGTCTGGGGCGCCCCAATAATCATACTTCTTTGCTGTAATTAAGAGGATCCTTTGGACTAGGTAGGGAGCAGGTGGGAGCAGTACAGCATCAGTCATAGTGGATGGCAGTGTAGAAGATGATCCAGATGACCTAGGAGACAAGCAGCAGTCATAAGCCCCAACCGCACAAAACAAAATGTTCAATAAGACATGTACACAGGGTGCTCCCCAGGGGCTAAGCAATGCAGTGTGCCTGGGGACCTAAGTTATCTTGCTGAAATCAAGCTGTCTCTAACAGAGCCCAGGGCTGCCCACCTGTGCTCCCAAAAGAAGCAACAACAAGCCCGTCCCTCCTTGTCCAAACATTATCCCCAAGGCCCACGGAGTAGAGGCATAGATGCAGAATGACACAAGCAAAACATACTGTACTGCTAGGAGGTGGCAGCAATAGCATCGAATGTGAAAACAAAACACCACCATACCTGTCAGCTCCATATCAAAGCCAAGGTTCTCAAACCTGGCTACCCTCTGCAGTCTCCTAGGGCCTTTAAACACAAACACACACACACACACACACACACACACACACACACAGATGTCCTGGCATGACCTCCTGAGAAGACTGACTTTTTTAGTTTGAGCTAGGGTCCAGACACATATGGATATGTGTATACTTTTTAAAAATTGAACTATAATCCATATTCCCATATTCCATAAAGAACATTCTTTTAAGGTTTTTGCCATAGGGACTGTGTGCTCACTGGACAGAGACACAGAGATACAGTGAGAGGAAAAGTGAGAAATCACCTCCCAAGAGGGATGGCCATGGCAATCCCTCCTTCACTCTCCTGGGATTCTGAGCATACTCATACATGTGCCCAGCATGATTTTCAAGCCACCAGGTCTGGGCCTGAACCTCAGTCAGCCATGTGGAAGTCCAGCACCTTAACACCATGCCTCCTGCTGGCCCCTCAACAGCTAACGCACACAGTTCCATACCTGGTGGCTTGAGAATCTTGCCACGTGCATGTAGGTGCGTGCCCAAAATCCCAAGAGGAGAATGGATAAAGGATTGCAGCATGGCCATTCCCAGGGGTGATCCCCATCTCTCTCTCTCTCTCTCTCTCACACACACACACACACACACAAAAGCACAGATGTCCTATAGCAAACTAAACACAAAAAAATAGTATATAATTCTGAAGTGTTTAGGGTATTCACAGAATAGTGCAGGCATCACTACCAACTGATTCTGAAACATCATTCCAAAAAGCAAACCTGTTCATCATCAGTAACTTCCCATTTCCTCCTACCCACAGCCACTGGTAATCACTAACCTGCATTTAGCCTCTCTGGATTTACCTGTTTTGGACATTTCACATAAATGGAATCATACAATATGTGGTCTTTTGTTTCTGGAAGATTCTTCCACTTAGCATGTTTTCAAAGTTCATCCACATTGTAGCATGTAACAGTATTTTATGGCCAAGTACGTAACATTCTACCACAGGGATATACGACCTTTTATAGATCTGGTCATCAGGCAATGGCTATTTGGGTTGTTTGTACTTTCCAGCTATCATGAATAATGCTATTAACTATTTTTAAATGTTTCTCAGTTTCTCATCTCTAGCCAGGGCTAAGAATCAGATGAAGCTCAGGGCCGGCAGTTGACATGGTAGTTAAGGGTGCTGGAATCTCACATGGGCAACCGTGGTTCGAGTCCCGGACCTGGCGGCTTGCTTTCTCACTTTCCCTCTCACGCTCTCTCACTCTATCCTTCTCTGATCAGATTAAAATAAATAAAGTTAAATAAATAAAATAATTCTTTAAAAAAAAAAAAAAGAATCAGATGAAGCTGACTGCAAGTCCTGGATGTGCACATTACAGGGAGACTTGCACAGTCTATCATACCACATCTCAGGAGAGGTCATGGCCTCCAGCCTTAGGAGTCTTTTGAAAAAACGGGACCCCAGTCATACAGAGTAACACAAACAATGGGCTCCCCTGGGTGACTGACGCTTCATGAAATTAAAGTACCTGCTGTTGGGACCAGCAGATGGCAGAACAGTTACACCATAGTTGGCTGTGGTTCTAGTCCTGGACCTAGGGGCTTAAAACTCATGCCCAGTGCGTGTGCATGTATGCCCAAAATCCTGAAAGGAGAATGGAGAAGGGACTGTGGTGTGGCCATTCCCTCTGTGGGGGCGATTTCTCACTTTCTGTCTTTGTCTCTCCTGCTAGCACACATGCCCTAAAGCAAAAATCTCTCTACAAAAAAAGAAGAAAAGTACCTGCTGTAAAGCTATAGTTACACATACCATGAACAAGGCAAAGGATGTCATAAACCCTTCTTTCGTGAGCTCCCATGTGCCACCATATTCCTCCTCATCGATCTGTAGATAGTTGCTGAAGTAGAGGTACAAAACTCCTGCATTGATCAGACAGAACCTGGAGGAGGAAGGACAAGCACCAAACAGTGTCAAACACACAGTTCCCACCACCACTACAGTTCTTCCTGCATTCCTACCCCACCAGGGGTAGCATTCCTGTCCTACCAGGGGATAGCCTGGAGGGAAACAGGCTTCAGGTCCAGGAAGACATTAGCTCAAACATGAGTTTTACTTCATGGTTATGGGACTTGTGTAAGTCTCTCTCTCTCTTTTTTTTTTTTTGGGGGGGGGAGATTTTCACTATAGGGCGTGTGTGCTCGCCAGACAGACAGAGACATAAAGACAGAAAGCGAGAAATCATCCCCCAGGGGGGATGGTCAACCGCAATCCCGTCTCCTCCATTCTCCTCTTGGGATCTTGGGTGGGTACGCATGCACATGCGCCCGGCTTGAGTTTTAAGCCATCAGGTCCAGGACGCGAACTGTGGTTGACTACGTGGGAGTCCAGCAACATAGCCATTACGCTAACTGCTGGTTCCCTTGTATAAGTCTCTTAACACGAGTCTCAGTTCCCTCACCTGTAAGATGGGGAGGCCAAAGTATTGGGGGTTGGGAAAGCAGGTGAATACTTGAAAATGTACAAGCCGGGGCAGCAGGTAGTGTACAGATTAAGGTGCTGGATTCCCACATGGCCAACTGTGGCTCAACTCACAGTCCTAGTGGCTTGCTTTCTTACTTTCTTAATCTCTCTCTCTGATCAAATCAAAAATGATGGTGATAATAAAATTAAATTAATTCTTAAAAGGAAAAAAAGAAAACGCAGAGGCCCTCGGGCTGGTGGTCTGCAGTGCAGCAGCTGGGCACCATGCAGACAAAGTCAGTTCCACATGGCCTGCCAGGGTTCAAGTCCTGACCCGGCAGCAGGTGTGCACATGCATGCCCAGGATCCTGACAGAATGGATAGCTAGAGAAAAAAGGACTGGAACATGACCCAGGTCCTTTAGGGGGTGCTTTCCTTCTCCACTCTTTCTCTCTCTTATGCACGTGCAAATAGCTTTTGGCATAATTCAAGAAAACTGAGTCTGTCCTAGAAAATAAAGAACCCAAAGGGCCGGCAGGTGGCGTGATGGTTAAGGGAGCTGGACTCCCACATGGTTGACCATGGTTCAAGTCTCAGACCTGGTGGCTTGCTTTTTCACTTTCCCTCCCTCTCTTTCCTTCTCTCACTCTGCCCCTCTCTGGTCAAATTAAAATTAAAAAATTAATTTAATTTAATTAAATAATTATTAAAAAAGAAAGGACCAAACCAATGCTTATTAAAAAAGAAAGGAAATACGATTTTCACTATAGGGCGCGTGTGCTCGCCAGACAGACAGAGACATAAAGACAGAAAGCGAGAAATCATCCCCCAGGGGGGATGGTCAACCGCAATCCCGTCTCCTCCATTCTCCTCTTGGGATCTTGGGTGGGTACGCATGCACATGCGCCCGGCTTGAGTTTTAAGCCATCAGGTCCAGGACGCGAACTGTGGTTGACTACGTGGGAGTCCAGCAACATAGCCATTACGCTAACTGCTGGTTCCCTTGTATAAGTCTCTTAACACGAGTCTCAGTTCCCTCACCTGTAAGATGGGGAGGCCAAAGTATTGGGGGTTGGGAAAGCAGGTGAATACTTGAAAATGTACAAGCCGGGGCAGCAGGTAGTGTACAGATTAAGGTGCTGGATTCCCACATGGCCAACTGTGGCTCAACTCACAGTCCTAGTGGCTTGCTTTCTTACTTTCTTAATCTCTCTCTCTGATCAAATCAAAAATGATGGTGATAATAAAATTAAATTAATTCTTAAAAGGAAAAAAAGAAAACGCAGAGGCCCTCGGGCTGGTGGTCTGCAGTGCAGCAGCTGGGCACCATGCAGACAAAGTCAGTTCCACATGGCCTGCCAGGGTTCAAGTCCTGACCCGGCAGCAGGTGTGCACATGCATGCCCAGGATCCTGACAGAATGGATAGCTAGAGAAAAAAGGACTGGAACATGACCCAGGTCCTTTAGGGGGTGCTTTCCTTCTCCACTCTTTCTCTCTCTTATGCACGTGCAAATAGCTTTTGGCATAATTCAAGAAAACTGAGTCTGTCCTAGAAAATAAAGAACCCAAAGGGCCGGCAGGTGGCGTGATGGTTAAGGGAGCTGGACTCCCACATGGTTGACCATGGTTCAAGTCTCAGACCTGGTGGCTTGCTTTTTCACTTTCCCTCCCTCTCTTTCCTTCTCTCACTCTGCCCCTCTCTGGTCAAATTAAAATTAAAAAATTAATTTAATTTAATTAAATAATTATTAAAAAAGAAAGGACCAAACCAATGCTTATTAAAAAAGAAAGGAAATACATAGGTTCTCAATGGGTTGCCCACCTGGCTGAGCTAACAATTTAAAGAAGGAACAACTCTTTTTAGTTCACCAAGGAAAAACAAACACAAATCAAAGAATACAGAAGTTCTCTAAGCCCCTTAAAGTAAGACAGAAACCCAAACAGGACCAGTCCTGACATGAGCCTCCAGACAGCTCCAGCTTGGGGAAGGAAGGGGTGGCCACGGGACAGACATGTGTTAAACTCCTCTGCATGGCCTCGCTGAGCAATAGCACATGCCCCTGCATAATTCCCAGCAGCAGAGCGTTTCTGGATGTCTACTATCTGCTACTGCACTCGACACAGAGGCGGGCACGACAGTTCCTGCCCTGGGCCTGCCACCTGTTAGAGTTAGAACAGCAATGAATGGGGTTGAGACCAGCGATTTTATGAGCACCCCCAGGAAAGTCTTTGACGCCCCCGTATTTAGGTGAGGCAGGGATGGGAGTGCAGTAAACCGGAATGTATCACCCTACCTTGTTATAAAATGAGCAAGACTTTGTGATCTTTCCAGTTACTGCATCTAATCTAATGGGGACCACCTCTAATCTAATGGAGACCCACTGCAGGCCATATCCCTTTTGAAAGCTGAGGGAGAAAATGCAGTAACAATGAATGAAATGTGGGCTGGTGTAATAGAAGGCAGGGAGGTGGTGCAGAGTATAAATCGGCACTGAGGGCTTGAGGCCAGAGCCCAAGGCTGTGGGAGGAGAGGGTGCACATACTTCAGGACGACCAATCTGCGAGCAGTGAGATGGGTCTTCTGACTGGGCAAACAGGAGCTGGGAGACGGGTTTAGACCTGCACACATTTCAGGACATGAGAGCAAACAGAAGTGGAAGGTGAAAAGTAGGCAAGTGGCTTCAAGCCTACGGATTTGGGAGTACAGTGGTGCCAGGATCAGAAGCAGGGTGTCAGGAAGAACAGAAGGCTTTTCTTGGACTTCACACAAAATGCAGCCCTTGGCTTGGCCATGGTATCTTATCTTTCACCAGAAATCTTGGGATCCTGCCAAATCTGGCCACCTTTCTCTGATAGGGTGATTTAGAGGCTCTAGATGGACACTACCAGTGGGGGCTGGAAATGTCACCCAGAGGCTCAGACAATGAATTAGAGCTATAGAATGACAGGAGACTCAAGGAGCAGGCTGACAGGAAGAGAGAAAAGGCTGACATAGTTCTTGCCCTCCAGAGGTTGCACAGTAGATAAAAAGTGAAGTTACAGAAACGAAGGCATTTAAATCCAATGTCTGGTGGTCAAGAGACCTTCCCTGTTAGGAAGGGACTAGAAGGACTCAAAGTAAGCTGTAAGGATGGGCAGAAATAATATCTACTTTGTGAATGAGCTGCACAGCATATATGTATTCAAAGAAATGAATGTGGTAGAATAGGAAAAGAATATTAAAGATGAACTCACAAATGGGTCTTAAAAAATTCTATCTTGGGCCTGGCAGGTGGAGTGGTAGTTAAGGTACTGGACAACCACATGGAGAACCATGGTTCAAGTCCTGGATCTGGCAGCTTGCTTTCTCACTCTCCCTTTCTCTCCCTTCCTCTCTCTGTTCAAATTGAACAATAATCATCAATTTTAAAAATCCTAGGCTAGGGGCCAGCAGGTGGCGTGGTGGTTAAGGCGCTAGACACTCCCACATGGCCAACCATGGTTCGAGTCCTAGACCTGGTGGCTTGCTTCCTCACTTTCC